AACACTGCTATCCCACACTAACACGGCTATCCGGCGTTAACACGGCTAGCCCGTCTACTAACACATGGAGTATGTCACTTCACAGTTAACATAACTTCATTTTCAGTTTTGTATTGGTACTGAGACTGTAGACCCAGGACTGAGGCAGTAGACCCAGGGCTGAGGCCTGTAGAAGTGGCTCCTATACAGGGCGGGGCCCATGGGTCGCGAGCAACCAGCTTTAAAGGAGCTATACCCGTTTCTGCAAGGTCTCGCTCACAGGTCTCTCATTTCCCCTACGCTCTCATCCCACAGAGCCATCTAGTTTTATTCACGATCTGATACATATGCTAACATTAGCATTAGGAGGTTTTCAGAATTATCTGTTAACGTTTTCATGACAATTATACTGTATTAATGTGACAAAAAGCAATCGCGATAAACCCGGAAGTAACCGTTAACATGAAACGAACATTTTAGGATTTTAGGACACATTTGAAGAGGATCTGTTATGGATTTAGGTTCAGTATATAAATGGGTCACTCACCGCTGATATTCAGAATTCTTTGTTCAGTTTTCATGTAGTTCCAGAGAGTTTTTTTAACTAGCTAGCTTAGCTGTTACCCACCTAGCACGTCACGGTGACCCCTTAGGGAGCTAACTATTTTATTTAGTCATTAAATACATTTCGAATTATAAGGGCTGTCTAATATTTGTTCAAATATATATATTATATATATATATATATATATATATACACATATTTTTTATTTTAGAATTATATTCACATTTCAAAGTCAAAGCCCTAGTGTTTAGCAGCGCTGTAGAGGCTAGAGGAGGCAGCCTCGATCTGTGAGTGGAGGAGAACGATCGGCCCGCTAAGTCTCTACTATGCACTTTTCAAGGCCTGAATTCATACACAGCTGTCAATCAATGAGCTCAAGTTTTCAATTAAATTACGTAGTGTATTATAATACAACTTGTATGTAGTAATAAGCATTTTTATGAACTACTTAGAAAAAAAATATATAGCTTCTTTAATTGCAGAACGCAATGTTTGATGTTGAAAGAGAACTGTGTTATTTCTCACATCTACCACCATCAATAAGTTTGTGTAAGCCCTCAGTCGTACAGGGATTAGTCAAAGCAAAGGAAGGTTTCTCACCCATCATCTGTACTTCTTAGCAAGTTTTCCCGACGTTTCGTCCTCAACCTGGGGACTTCTTCAGGGAATGAATTCTCGGACCGCGCGTTGGAGATTTATAACCTATGGGTGTGGTAAGCCACACCCTAATCCTGATACTAACTCGTAAACAATCTCAGGTCTGCTTGATGTAGAAGGGAGCAGGTCTAACGACCCTGCTGAGGCTAACGACCCTAACTCCTTAGCATGTCACAGACCTATTGTCTGCTGGGATGCTCAAGTGGAGTGCAGGTCTCACCCCTCCTAACTCATTAGCATGTCACTGACCTTGTCCCAAGTTAGGGCGTTGTTTTTAGGATGTCGTCATAGATGCGAGGCAAAACAAATCTTAACCCTCCTCCTCTGTTAAGAGAAGGTTTTTGTTTCCTCACAAAAATGGCTTCTTTCACCCCTCTCTCAAACCAATTCTTCTCCCGAGCCAGAATTTTAACCTCTGTGTCATCCACCGTGTGGTTGGAGGCCTTGAGGTGGAGATGAACAGCCGACTGTGGCCCACTAGAGTTTTCTCTACGATGTTGGTAAAGTCGTTTCTGTAGAGTTTGTTTGGTTTCTCCAATATAGTGGTCAGTGCACTCCTCTTCACTACATTTAATTGAATACACCACATTGCTCTGTTTGTGTCTGGGTGTTTTGTCTTTGGGATGCACTAATTTCTGTCTTAACGTGTTGAAAGGTTTGAAATACACAGGGATTTTGTGTTGCCTAAAGATTCTTTGTAGTTTCTCTGAAACTCCCGCCACATACGGTAAGGACACGCCTCTCCTCCTACTTTCTTCTGTCTGTAGGACTGTGTCTCTGGCCTTTCTCGTCCTTTGGGCTTTAGTAAAAGACCACTTGGGGTAGCCACAGCTGGAAAGTGCTCTCTGAACATGTTTGGTTTCTCTGTTCTTTCCCTCCGAGCTTGTGGGGACCTGGTGGGCTCGGTGTTGAAGCGTTCTAATGACCCCGAGTTTGTGTTGTAGCGGATGATTTGAATCAAAGGCCAGGTACTGGTCAGTGTGAGTGGACTTTCTGAAGACCTCAGTCTCTAATTGTCCGTTCTCCAGTATGATGACCTTACAATCTAGAAAGGCGAGTTCACTCTCCTTAGCATCCTCGCGAGTGAAATTTATAAAAGGGTCCACCGAGTTAATGTGTGCTGAAAATGGTTCCACTTCCTGTTTCTTTAACTTAACCCATGTATCGTCTACATATCGAAACCAATGGCTTGGCGCTGTCCCATAGGTTATAAATCTCCAACGCGCGGTCCGAGAATTCATTCCCTGAAGAAGTCCCCAGGTTGAGGACGAAACGTCGGGAAAACTTGCTAAGAAGTACAGATGATGGGTGAGAAACCTTCCTTTGCTTTACCACCATCAATGTCAAAATCATATTATAATTATTTGACTTGCCTTAGTTGTGTTTTTTGCAGATCTACAAAGTCCATCTACAGAATGGTGTTCTCCTGTGATTAGTGTGGAAAGACGTTCTCGCAGTGGCTCTCTCAAAGTACATCAGAGGATCCACACAGGAGAGAAACCATTTGAGTGTGACCAGTGTGAAAAAATATTTAGGAGAAAATACCAGCTCTCACTACATCAGCACGTCCACACAGGAGAGAAACCTCACCAATGTGACCAGTGTGAAAAGTCTTTTACACGTTTATCTGTCCTCACTAATCACTACAGAATCCACACTGGAGATAAACCATTCGTCTGTGGAGACTGTGGGAAGAAGTTTACTCACTACTCCAGCTACAAAAAACATGAGAGAATCCACACTGGTCAGCTGTGACGATTGTGGTCAGAGTTTTTCTCGCAGTGGTTCTCTCAAAGTGCATCAGAGGATCCACACTGGAGAGAAACTATTTGTCTGTGAAAAGTGTAGAAAGTCTTTTACACATGCAGTAGGTCATCTCTTCGTCGACACATAAAAACCTGTAGAGAAGCAGCTCTGAAGCATCTGGAAGTGAAGGAGATAGAGCTGAGGCTGCATCCTGTGAACCCAGAGTCAGACTCTACAGGATCTCTCTTCAGTCCGTCCACAAGTGCCGAGACCACTGGAGGATATGTGTGCATCGTTTTTCTGTTTAATGTTGTTTATCGGTCGTTCAGAAAATTCATTTATTTTGTTAATTGTTATTATTTACTATGAATTCAAATGTGTTGTTGTTTGGAAACAGTAAAAGTTGACATTTTTCTTGCATCCGTCTTTGATTTTTTTCTGTGATGGATTCTTAGTTTTCCTCTTCTACACTTCATGCGCTTCACCTTTTTGTTTCATATCAAGTGCAAAGGTGGATTTCATAAAGTTAGAACAGAGCAGAGAAAGCCTCTTACTTTAAAGGAGATGAGACTGTTCACTTTGTCTTTTCATGTTTTAGAATGATAAATAATAATGTGTAATCACTCCCTATGGAGAGAGACCAGAGGGAGGCTTTTGTTCTAAGAAAAGATCAGAGAAGCTTATTGGTCCACAGTGGGGAAATGTCGGTGTTGCAGCACACAGACAGAAGGGAGAGCACAACACCGAGGTAAATATCAGTAAATTCTTCTTAATAAGAGCAATAAGATACGTGTTTAAACCACAGTAAAATGACTTCAGGCCCTGAAGGCTCACAGGTACATTCACAGATACGCTCACAGGTACGTTGTCCTTAAGATAAAAGAGGAAACATCCTCTTTTACCTTAAGGAAAATGGGCCTCATGTATGAAACTTGCGTACGGCCAAATCAGGGTGTAAATGAGGCGTACGCAAAAAATTTACACTTTTTGGCATCTCAATCTGGACGCACAGAATTTACACCAAGTCAGGAGGTGGTGTAAATGTGTACGCTCATTTCACCCTTCGTCACAACACGCATGAAATTCAAGATTTGGACAACAGTACTCATAGTCCCACTCTGGCAAAATTAATTCTGATTTTTTTATGAATACTTAGGCTTATTACGCTACCGTGTGGTGTTGGTCATTTTGCGGTGGTACTTGGAGAGGCAAGTATTTTCTGAGGTGGTACTGGGTGTAAAAAGTTTGAGAACCACTGCTCTAGTAGTCTGGTGATGGTTGGATAAAACGCTTTGCTGTTAATTGTATTGATAATTTTCCCTGTTGCTCTTTAACAGTTGGGATACTTTTTGATAAATGATGTATTTACCACAAGTGATTACTGTTTTATTAGTAATCTCAGAGAACAGTCTTTTGATCCAGTCAGTGAATTGTTCTACACTAGATCCAGGAAATCAATGGACATAGCTAACACTTTTTTTTCTCCGATATGGAGTTCAACTGTTATGCACTCTATCAAAAATACTGTATAGTACAACGCTGCTCTTACCCCAGTTACATATTTCAAATTCCTACCAAAAAGTTGTACATATATAAAATGTTATAGAATACACAATACACTATAGACAATGTGTTTTACAAAAATGAATGAACAAATGGATTTTGTGAAATATTTTATTATTGCCCTGATGTAGTTCCTATTTCTATTATCTCAGTCCTGTATGAATGGGGCAATAGAAACTAAACTATTTCATTGTCTTTATTGAAAAAAACAATACATTGTTTTTTCCTTAAAGAAGCGGTCTCAGAGAATGGATAATTCCACTCTCGTAGACCATGTGTAGATGGTGAAAATGCCTCACTTTGAATTCGCCGTAAATCCAAAATGAGGCTTTTGACTTCAGCAGTCGGTGGTAGGACGTGTCTCATAACAACTATTGCTAAAAGTGTGCTGTTTAAAGGCACAATACACAAGGTCTGTGTTAGGAGTGACACTTGTGGTCAGTCACTGAGCAGCCAGAACAACCTCACAATGTGGTCAGACACTCTGGGATTAACACCACATGAAGATGGCCCGACACACGGACCTCAGAACGATGCCCAATGTGCGCTTCTTAGGAATCATCTCTAGATGTTTGGCAATGGCCGCTATGATGAGATCTGGGTCGGAAGAGGCAAACATACGCAGTGCCTTCTTGGAGTGAAATTGGCTTAGGTCTTTGTAAATGTGTTTTGCCACATCTACAATGTTGTTCTTATCAGGTTTTACCCGCACATCACACTGATTCTTTAATGTCTGCACATGCCCAAAGAGCAACTTGGAACACCTAGCCAGTTCCTGCGGGTTTCTGATGCCAAACACTCGAGTAGACAACTCAAAAACCAGGTTGGACCAGTCGTCATCGCTCCAGACGAACTGGTCAGCTGCTGTGCGTTCATCTCTTACCTCATCTGGCCTCTGGATTGGCCTCAAATCCACTGGTGCAGCAAGGTTTCTCTGCTTCTGGTTCTCAAGTTCCTGAATGGCGTTCACGTCACAGAGGGCCTTATAGTCCAACCACAACATTTGCACCATTTTGTTGGTCAATACAAATCTACTACCTGTACAACATGTCTCTGGTTTCTGAGGTGTGTTGATCTCTACGCAGCTCTCATTGAAAGACTCCGGTGAGGCTCTTTCCTGGATGGAGCTTAGTTGTTGCACGCTTACCCATTTCAGGATGCAGTCTGTGATGATGGTGGCACTGTACTCAGAATACATAAAGACCATAAAATGCATCCAGTCCCCCAATTTCTCACTCACATCTTGGTATATTGCATCAGCTACTTCTTTGATGTGATGCTGATCAGGTTTGAGCTTAACACTATATCCAGATTTTTGTTGCTCCACATTCTTCAGGAGCAGCTGAAAGAACTGCTCTCTATCAGTTTCCTTTGAGTTGGGCAACACCTGAGAGCAAACTTCTTGCAGCAGGTAACACCAATCCTGGTCGCTCCATAGGAATTCCACCGGTGAAGCGGCTTCCCTGTCCTTAGATTTTGCATCCTCTGGTCTCAGCAGCTGCTCTGGCTTGTTCTCTTGACCTTTGAGCAACATTTGCACAGCAGCTTCTTCAGGGATTTTTTTTAACTTGGGTGTAAGAACTGGTTTCACCCTGAGAATCCATGCATTCACTTTCCTCAAAGACTTGAGGGTCACGTGTGGTGAAGTCGGCACTGTGATGTCGCACATCATTGGTCTGCTCTTCAACTTTAGGCACCGGCTCAGAGCGGCGTCGCTGATGTTCCTGATCCCTGGCGAAACGCAATAATAGCTTGATATGATTTATCATTGTGATCAGATGTTCTTTGGGGGGCAGGTATGAGGTTATGGACTGTGTTCCATTTTGGCTCAGCCCAGAGTTGACACTGGCCCACACTTCTGTGCTCAAGGCCTTGAAGAGCGGAGCACATGCGTGGTGTGTGGTGCCCAATACGAAATGAAAGACATCAGTCAGACAGGACTCAATAGCTATGGCTACCTCTTCCTCTGACACCAGGGTGAACTCTGGTCCACTTAAGCGTTCCAAAACACTTTTGGACAGAGTGTCAATCATTTCCAACAACATCTCTGCCAGGACTTTCTTGGGCTTTGTCATCTGCAGCGCCTGCTTCCAGTACCTCAGTGCCACAGACTTGAGTTCCTCTGTGGAGATCTGAGACACAAAGCCCATTGAACTGGGCTTTGGAACGCAATACTTGTCAAAATCATACATACTTACTTTTTAAATTCGACACATTACTACAACTACTCTAAAATTAAATGTATAACTCGGTTGTCTCTTCTGTATGTACTTACCTCTCCTCTCCTTTGGTTGAACACCACTCAAAGGCCAGCCTTCTAAGAGGCATTGGCTTTGACGAAACCCTTTGAGGTCACTTGAATGGATGTTTCCATAGCAACCTATACATGGCAACCGATACATGGCAACGCTTCCATGGCAACAATAAAAAGAGAATAATATACCACCTAACCATCTATTGAATATGTGAGAATATATTTTTCTTTTCATAAGTTCATTATGAAGTATTTTCTAATGCTTGTCTTATGCACATTTTAATTGTTACTGTTATGCTACTGCACTGTTGTAAGCCAAAGAACAGTTTAAAAAAATGATTTACTGATTCTGATCTTGCAACAACACAACATCAGCAGAGTAACAAAACATAAGTAAACAAAACAAAATGACTGAATGTTTTGTCTTGTAGCCTCAAAAATATTAAGTTATGATTATGACTTATTGCATTTAGGGTTAAATGGTTATGGTAACATAAATACTGTTGTTTTATTGTTAAAAAATACCTTCAAAATAATGTATAACATATCACGGCCACAGACTCACAATACACCTTGCTCAATAGGTATGAATGTAAGTGAGAAAGTGAGTGATCGGTGTTGAATGGGGGCTTTGACGTGTGTGGAGTGAATGAAACAGACTCTGAAGCGCTTGAGGGGACCTTGGTGTGTGTAAAATGCGCTATATTAATAAACATTACTCACTTAAATACTAACTTACCTTTTCATAGACATGACATGAGACCCCTGCCTTATATGACGTTGTAGTGTCGTCGATACAACGACACAACAGCAGGAACAAAAAACTTTAAAACACAAAAATGACGAAACCTAGCCACGTTTTTGGATAGAGGGTAGTGAAGAAACCCAATGACACATTGCATGAACTAGTTAAGCCATTTTGCCATGGTTACTGAGAGATGCAGGACTTACGGTATCTCAGTAGATGTCGTACCACTGAACACAGGCATATTTTAGGCCTCAGAAGTCACAAACAATCTTATGACCTATTTGAGTTGAGTGGGTAAATGTTACAGATAGTGGCATGCAGACACAGGGAGTAGAAGGATCCTAAGTGACACAAAAGCTGAATTGCTTAGTGGTGGGAGAAAATGGGGTGGCGTTTTGTAACACAAATTCCAACACAGACACACTCCCAATAATTAGGGTTGACAAATCCACACCACATGTAACAATGATGATTGAGTCCAAAGCAGAGGCCAAGACTTAGGTCCAATTGTGCACTGATATTGGCCAGTAATTTAAAACCAATGGTGTGCAACGGGACAATTACCAATACATTGTACTGCATAGTGAAACCACAGGAGGTTATGTGATCAAATTCAATGACCAATTGAATAAAGCCATATGCGGAAGTCCAGAGAACAAGGACACATGGCAGGGAAATACCAATTCAAGCTATTTGAAGTAGCAGAAAACACACTATACACCCCCTGAGGAGGCTATGGACAAAACATGCATTTGACATCGGGAAAGCAGGAGGGAATCTGCCAATAAAACTACTGTATGATGACCAAGTGAGTTACCAGAAGCAGTATCCCATTAAAGCAGGGACTCCAGGACAAATTGGAAGTTACACAGTCTTCCGAATTGGTGAAGCAGGCAAAAATATCTGAAAAGAATTGTAACTTTTAGTGATTGGTTATTTCAGTATCGATTTGAAATCATGCTTTTATACTGCACTTTTACTCTCAATATTGATGTAGCTTACTTAGCTTTTGAAGGCTGCACCCTCAAAAAAAGAATATCTAAAGAAAAGTTTGAGTGCCCAGTAGAGGAATTTACTTACTATATAGCAACAGCTTTGAGGTGACATTTTCATAAACAACAAGGTACATTTGGAACAAGTACAACAGAATAAAGGTCCTACAATAAAATATTTACAAAAGGAAGCATATATATACACACACACACATATACACATATATACATACATACATATATATATAAATAAAAAACTTGATTAGATACACATGTAACATTTTTAACAGTATGTACTCAGGTAAAATGACCTGGCCAACATTCCATTGAATGTCCAGTTTTATTGGAAATTTTGAATGTCGAGTGGAACTTCACAAGGGTTGATGTGTGGTACAGAGGGCTGATTTTGTCAACATCCATCCGAAACCGCAGAGCCAACATAATAGCCGAGTCTCTTGCATGCTTCTTTTACCAACTGAAACATTAGCAATACATTATTGTACTTCAGACTTTTGTTAAAGTGGCAATGTGTTGTGTTGCTCACCTTACGTTCTCTTGACAAACCTGGACCTGTGCCTGCTTACAGCCTCCTGTTTGTCAGGTCTTTCAAACTGGGCACAGAGTGGTTCAGGCACAGGTACTTTGTCAGAGTATTCCTGATAAGGACGGGCATCCTCCACCACGCTTTCAAAAAGCAGATCCATAAGCTTGTCAATGTAGTCTAAAAAAAATCAAAGTTTATCCTCATAATACTTATAAGCGTCATGCTAGTTTCAATAAATATGACATACATGAAGTAGGGTTGGTTTTCATGGCTCTCACTGTGTAGTCTCCGCGCTTGTATTTTGGGTACACTACAGAATACCTCAGCTCCCCAACAGACGTTGCAGCATGTGCCCTATTTGCATTTTCATTATAGTGCAAAGCAGCGACCTGCAGCCTAAAATTTCACATATAAAACAATATATCTGTATATTATTTCTAAACATTTCTAAGAGATTAAATAACCCAAGTGAATTTTTGTTAAACCTTTAGGATTCATTACCTAGCCAGCATTCCTTTGAATGAGAAGCCCACACTTTTGGGAGAGAATCTGATGATCAGGCTATGGAATGCCTCGATGTGTGACGTGTGGTATTGTGGGCTTATTTTCACTACATCTTTCACAAAACGTGGTGCCAACAAAATACTGGTCAGCCTTTCACATGCTGCTGTGCCTACAAAGAAAACGACATATTGATATGTCAAATGTAAACGATTAATATAAAATTTGAGATTGAGTAAGGGAGGAGCAGTTGTAATTACACATACTTGGCTTTAGCCACACTCTTGCATCATCCCCAACCAAAGGCTCGTGAGTACAGCGAGGGAACAGGGGGTTTTTATGAATGTGAACATTCTGAACGTGGTTGCCTACAGATGTCCACTTAGCCACAGCCTCGTCCTCCTCCAGGAGGAGGTTGATGCCGACCAATACAGATGGTTCACTACGCTTTTTTTCCATATCTTTACGTCCTCCGTTCCCCTTTTCTTCCCCAGCTCCTCCATTTTTTTCCCGATTCCTGGGACGCCCACCAAAGATAAAATTGTTTTTAAATGATGTACAAAATTAAAAACACACATTACAATTTACAATTACTGAAATACATACCCTTTCCCATGTGCCGAGGATCAAAGTAGTGACTGATATCCGGTCTTTGTTCCCGTAAAAACTTCTGGACGCCCGAGTGTCGGTCAGTCACAATCGCTTGCACTTCAACACCCCTCTCTTCAAGCATTGTCAGACTACGGACAAATCCCTCCTTCTCCATGCGAACACTTTTCCCCACTTCATTACTCTGTCAAGGCAAAAAGATTTATACTTCCAATCGACATGTTAGGAAGTAACTGGTTACGTTCAAATGACATCACTACATTATAAATATTCTTCAATGTAATTGTTGGGCAAATAATATTTCTATAGTAGTAACAGTTCACATTAAAGTATGTTGCGATGTTGTCATTTTTTATTTAAAGAAATCTCCAAACTGAAAAACAAATTGATTTGTAAATGATTATTCATAAACCTTCCAAAGAAACACATCATTTTGAATAGTGCCACAACTTTTGGCCACAATGTTGTGATGTCCTGTGAACGCAACATGTTGTGATGTGATTTACCTGAACAAGCTGAATGTCAATTACCCGGTTAGCTTTGAGATTCATCATTGTGTAGCTCCCGTATTTTGCAGAGTGTCCTACAATAAGACAATATACACTTAAGCCAACTTTTCACATCTGTCAGAAGCTTGTGGATAAAGAATTACCAGGTGAATCGGCTCGCATATCTCCACCCAGTGTCATAGCCCCACCAGCAACAGCCTCCATGACACGTTCATCCTGCTCAAGCTTCCACTGCCAATTGACTGTTGGGATGAGGAGCTTGGCTTGATGCCTATAAAAACACTGCTCAGACAGTCCCTGAACGTTGAAGGCCCTGAGGAACTATAAAACGTGAACACATGTCATCAACTGATAGATATGGAAACATGATAATAACAAAATAGTATTGCTCTACCTTTGAAACCTGACAAATAGATGAGCCAGTAAACAATACTGCTGCACAGAGCTGTAGGTTTCCAGCGGGAATGTTGTTCACCAGTGGCTGGCTGGACCACTGGTTGAAGTACTCACAATGAGTACACTGCTGCTTCACCCGGAGCAGTGTGCCGACTGTCACGGTGTCAATAATACAATGACGGGTGCAAACAGGACAGCTCCGGAATAGCCCCAGCAGTTGTTCCTCATAAACAATGTACTTATATTGTTTATGTGGAGGGACTTGTGTGGGAGTTCTATATTGCAAAAGAACAATCAATAAATATAGGCCTTGAAAGCTGAAAAATGTATATGATAACTTAAACAGAATACCAAAAAACTTAGGTAACATAATTTACAGATGCATCATAAGTTAATTTATTTTTTACCCAGTACAGTTCAGGGAGCTTGCACTTCCATCCAGATGGTAGGTGGGGTCAGAGGCTGACACCTCGCACCTTGGTCTTTTGACCGGTGTGGAGGTTGCCATGGGAGCTTCAGGAAACTGAACCTCCATCAAGGCCTCTGTATTGCAAGACATGGTCCTGCAATGAGGTTGTACCTGGATGGCTGTGTAAA